TAATAATAATAATAATAATAATAATTCAATTTTACATTGATTCTAATGTTACTTAGAATAATCTAACACTTTTTACACACTTTCATCTCAGAAAAAGTGTTTTCTGTTTCCAATCTTTTTTGGGATGGGGGGGGAGGAAGAACTGGAAAAAGAGACAAAACTAAGTTTTGTTCATTCACCTGAAGGTAAGGTCCCTGTCCTCATTCTATATTAGCCTTGTGATATTGTAGTATAACAACATGATTTGATTATGTGACCTTGCCGTAATACAATTGTTGGCACATCTTCGCAGGAAAAAGTAGCCCCCATTTGAAGGGGGAAAATGGCTTTGAAATAGTTATTCAAAGGCAGCCAGCAAAAGCATGGAGGAGACATTTACCTATCTTTCTGCACTTTTGTCTGTTCTGATAATGCTTAAAATTGAATATTTGATGTATTTTGGTGTCCTTCTGCCTTATAGTTATATACAGCTTGTTTTCCCCTAGCAATTTTATAACTACCAAAACTTGACGCTTACTTGATCACCTTGAAGCAGTCATAAAATTACACAGAGAAAGTATTCATCTATACAAGAACAAAATGAAAGAGAAGGGAAAAGTACAACAAAAACTTCACACAAAGAAAAGATGCATATATCAATAGCAAACTGCTTTTGTTGTCTATATTTGATTTTTAATGGATTAATTTATTTTAACTATTAATGGGGGATTTTTAATTGTTGATGGGGTTTATGATTTTAACTGTGAGCCACCCAGAGTCACCTGTTGGGGGGAGATGGGTGGCATACTAAATAAATAAACAAACAAACAAACTACCATTTTGGGCAGCATACTAAATAAATAAATAAATAAATAAAAATAAATACTACTGTTTTAGAACTGTTATTTCAGCATGATTAAAGCTGGGATTTTAGCCTCTCTCTAGTTCCATTTGATGAGGGTCAATATGTCATTCTAATGCCAGATAGTCATTTATGAAACTCAGACTGGAAAGGTGAAATTGCAATAAACTGAACTTCCATTTCTAGATTAATCTATTGAGTATCATCCAGAAGCAAATATAGCCACTTCAGATTTGTTAGCTTTTATGTTACCCAAAATCCTATCCTCTTAATGATTATCTAAAAATAACACCAAGGCCATTTAAAACAAATGTGTCAAGTCATACTACATCTTAACAAACAAAGCAAATAAAAATCCCAATTTGAAAGTCATCCAATGTTTACAAGTGTTTGAGCCACACTTCACTGTTTTAGCAGCAGACACATTCTGCAATGCATACCTGAAGGAACTATGGCAGGCGACTCTTCATCCTAACCAAATGATGCCCTGGTACTCTCAGCATCACCCTAACCTTACAGCATATTGTACATTTCTGGCACTAGATAAACATTATTCAAATATGGGCCTTCATATCTACTTACCCGCAGCTGAGACATACAGAGGAGCAGGTAAAATACTCATCTGGAAAGAAGGAGCTATGAGCCATCTGATCATCTGGGATTTCACCACAGAACCGATCACTTAATGCCTGGAGGACAAGTGAGAGAGAAACCATCAGTGAGCACAGAATGGTAAGCATGTTGAACAAACAGCAACTTTATGGAAAGGTATAGGTCAAAGGATCAACAGCCTGTGACCCTCAACACCACCCTCTTTTTTTTTTTTTTCCTTTTGTAGTCATCAGAGCTCCCGAATACACAACTGAATTTCAGGTGTACAATTGTTGATATGGGTGAAAAAAATAGCATTTGGGAATTCAGGACTGATACAGATACATCCCTCATACAAATCCATGGCTGTTTAACAGTGGTTTATGAATGAACCATAATTAGTTAGATTCAAAAAAATACACTATGCAAAAATCAAATAAACTACTTTATGCCTCAGAGTTGAACCTATTAGTTTCTCCATTATTGTTTTGTTAGCTGTCTTTTAACATCACAAGCAGAATACAGTAATGTTATTCCTTCCCCATCCCCCATTACAAACTTCTAGCCCACAGCATTTTTTTTTTAAAAAAATCTTTTATGAAGCATTCTGATGATTAAGAATGCAGAGGTTAAGCATCAACCAAGATACAAGCACAGAAAAGGGTAAAAAAATAAAATCTTATTCCCCGAAAGAAATGTATTAATAGCAAAATCAAAAGTTTAGAGATTATGTGAAATGTGTGGATGCTAGCCATAAGCAAGCATAGAGAAGCCACACATCTCTTAAACCCCTAGGAATTCTTAGCCAAGATGGACATTTTTTAGGAAACCCTATAGGAGAAATTTTCCCTGAGGGATTGTTGTTATTTATATAGTTTTCCATAATGAACTATATTAACTGGATGGCACTACAGAGCAAAAAGCAAAACTAGATACATATTAAAATATAATATAAAAGAAGAAAACAATGCAAAACAATGCACAAACTCCTTTTCCAGCAGAGGCAGAATAAAATAATGGTCAGAAAAAGAGAACCACATTCAAATGTGGCACACCCACAGATTTATTGCCAAAGCACCAAGAAGCTTAATTACAAGAACGTCAGGGCCTAGCTTTGAAATGTTGGGAAAAGCATACAAATATCTCTTCCCATAGTATTATGAAAGTTGCAGGACCTCACTCTGATTCACACAGTAAGTAACCCCTCCTGAAGAGAACAGGTCATACAATTATTTATTATACTTATTTACACCCAGATGTTCAGCCCAAACAAGGAAATATGAATAAAATGTGTGCATTTCACCTGAAATACAACTAAAATATGTCTATGCCCATAATAAACCATGAACATTCACAGCTCAGATAAATACTATGATTTACTGGGCTGATTTTCTAAAAACTAACATTAACCATGCAGTAGGGAAGAGAGAATGTGGGAGAAAAGAGTGTCACTTCTTTTTAATACATTTTAATCTGGAAATAAATCCTAAATAAATAAATCTTAAAGCTAATGTCTGAATAAACATACACAGCCATTATTGTGAATCATGTTTAATGTTACAAAATTACAAAGGATTAGGTAGGTTAGTATTATTTTTCATGGATTAAACAGATATGTTTCTTATTGTGCTATGTGTGTTCATCAAATAGTTGTGGGGGAGGTAATAATCATCACTGTCTATATCACCTACATTTCATTTCCTTCTGACACCTTTCTTCAGTAGTCTCCCCCTCTCCTATTCTCATCAATACTTGTATGTATGCATATATACATTCTTTTCTCATGTTAATACTCCATACACCTAATGAAATGAATTGTAGTTCCCCAAAGTTGATGCCATAATTACTTTGGTAGTCCACAAAAGTGCCATAAGAATCTCTGTGTTTAGGTTGCAACCAAGTTATAACACCACTCTGCAGGAAAGGACAAAAGAAAAATCCATGGGAAACATGAGAAGAGAGTTGTAGTGAAAAAATGTTTTAATGAGTTTGCACTCCCCCTGATTGAATATTGCAATCCCTGGTTCAATACTGCAATAATGATAAATTGGAAATAAATTACCAGAAAACCAAGGTCATGGCCTTTGCTAAAAGGACAAGACTTCGCTCATGGTATCTTAATGGTCACAATATAGAACAAGTGACCACCTTTAAGTATCTAGGTGTGGTCATACATGCCACCAACTCAAGGAAAGCACATTGTGAATATGCAGCTGCTACTGGTCAAAGATCAGCCAACACCATCATTAAATTTTTCCATTCACAGGGAGGATATTATGTTCCCACTGCAATTAAGCTGTTTCAGGCCAAGTCGCTAGCACAGTTTCTTTATGGGGCCCAGCTCAGACCCCCAGCTTCTTGTTTTACACCTCTGGAAAGAGTTCAATCAAAATTTATTAGCGCAATCCTCCAGATGCCTCATTGCATTTCAAATGCACACCTATGTCTAAAGACTGGGTTGACAAAAGTTGAATCAAGAATCTGTATAGCTTCCTTAAATCTTTGGCTAAAGCTTAATTTTTTTCCTCAAGGCCTTGCACCATTAATCCTCCAAGATAAATTCTCCTCTTCATGGATCAAGGCTGTTGAGTCCAATCTTGCAAAACTAGGTTTTTCTCCTTCCTCAGTACTTGAATTGGATTATGACCAGGCAAAACAAAATCCGAGACAAAGGGTAGAGGACACTGAGAGGCAAGCAGACTTAGAGAAACTTCCATCATTTCTGTCTCCAGATTATACCAGATATATTGTCAACCCGCCAATCTTAGCCACTTAGAGTCAGCGAATCATCGGAAAGCTTTCTCGCTTGCACAATGCCATGCGCTCCCCTCAGCTGTTCTGGATGGCAAATATAAAAAGATCTCATTGACTGAAAGGCTCTGTCCCTGTGATTCCGGAGAGGTAGAAACCACTGGACACGTTCTTCTTCAATGCTCATTCTATAGAGACATCCGAACAAAATTTATTTATCCAATGATTAATAGGCCACTCTGACACCGACTATCTACAGTTTCTGCTTAAAGACAAATGGATTATAGTCACAGAGCAGATAGCCAGATTCTGCACAGCAGCACTAAAGAATCTGATGAATAACTTATTGTAAACACTTTTACATAACCAACACACTTCAATTTTAGATATTATCACTTTGTTGTAATTTTAGTAGTTAACAACTAATAATTATAGAATGTCATAATTTAAGGAGTAATAATATACTACAGTATAGGCCGCTTGACCTCATGTATAAATGATAGTTAGGCTGCCAAATTATAATTATGATATGGATTTTATTTGCTATTATTGTAGCTAAGAATTTTTAATTAGACATTTTTGTGCATTTTTAATTGTACTGGTCTATGACTGTAATAAAATAAAGAATGAATGAATGAGTCTGCACTCCAAAAACTCATCCACATGGTAAAGTACAGAAGGATCTGTATTGCTACATTTCCCAGCTGCTACTCAGAGTCTTACATTGTTCCCTGAAGGGCCTTGGTCCTAGCCTTTGTTTGTTCTAGGTGCCACATCTTTGGTATTTATCAATGAAAATTTAGTTTCCCACTTAAGGAAAATTGAAGAAAGTCAAGGGAAACCAAAGAATAGGTTGTTGCCTAGAGACCATGTCCTGTCAGTTACCCTGGTAACAATATGGACCTTTCCATTGCATTACAATAGCTCAGTCCTGACTTGCTTATGTATTTATAGTGCTCTGGCACCCAGCCTGAGACACTAAGTATTTAGATTACAGAAGTTATCAAAACTAGATTTGCCAAAGCAGACAGAAAAGAATTATATCTACATGGGCCCTTCACTAGCTCCACATCGAAACCAAAATTTCTTCTAGCCCAGTTTATTTAGTTTTTCCTTAACTAATAGAAGAGGGCAAATTTAACTGTCAAGAGCCAGACTTCCGAGCTAACTGCTGACTTGCCAAGATGCAGGCATATTTTCCCTCTACAGGTGAGGAAAATCAGTTATCTGTTTACTCCTGTGGCTTGACTCACTTGCTGTACCATTTGGGCTTGCCAATTCTTGAGAAGTGATTGGTCTAGATTACTTTCTGAATTCAGGACCCTATCAGCAAAATGAGAAATTAGGCATCTAATTTGAAAAGAATTATACCAAATTATACCATGAAATAAAACTGGACAATCGTAAACTTTGGAATATAGGCCCCTGTCACAGAACATAAACTGGGAAACACTAGAATTACTGGTGCGAATCGTAAATCTGCCCTTACTTCTATAGAGCAAATTCTACTTACTTTGAGTGCTTTGTAGATAACTCCAGGAGGACGTGGAGAACGGGTGGTATTATTTTCTAGCTGCTGCTCCACAGCATGCCTGAGACCAGAAAAATCTGTTGGGGGGGTTTGTGTTCTTATTCCTTTGTAATGGATTGAGCTGAAGGATTCGGGGAAGAGACCAAGTTTCCGGAATCGATCCTGAATTAGTTTCTCAGGCACCTCAGAAGGGTGATCTGAATAGATTTAACATGCTATTGTTAATATGCTGCTGTACCACATAATTCTGATTATTTTTGGCAATCAAGTGGTAGTTAAATATATATTGAGTATCATACATTTCTGGAAAGGCAGAGTCAAACAACAGAGATGATAGCCAAAATTACACAAGAAATAGGTTAAAACAGACCTTTAAGGATTTCTGCAATTGTTATATTTGTGGAAACACTGAAGAGAGAAAATATCTGCCTGTATAATGTATCTATGCCATGTCTAGATGGATGTCTGATGTAATAACATTTCTGTCTAAGCCACATTTTCAAAGAGTAATTAGAAGCAATACAGGCAAACTCATGAACCTAAACATGGGCCACTATCAAAGTCATAAAAAAATAGAAGAGTGGGATAAAGAGTGATTTAAGCTTCTATAGGTTAAATCATCTTATTCTCACCTGGAAATAAGCTCCCTTAAAAACATAAGCAGTATTCTGCAGGATTAGACCTCTGGCCCATCTAGTCCAGCAGTCTGTTCTCACAGTGGCCAACCTACTGAACAAGGAAGCCCACTAATCTTCCAGAAGATATATATATTCAGAGGCAGTCACATTACTACCAAGGCTTGTTCACTTAGGCTTATTTCTGACTAGATATGTACTAGATCAAAGTGCAGAAAATCCTGTTTGCCTGTGCTTCTTCCTATAAAGCACAACTTTTGTCTCCACCATCCTTGAGTATCATATAGGTACTTGACTTAGAATATATGCAACTTCCTTCTGAGGATATTGAGTGGCAAATCTTGATCTGACAATATCTAGAGGTTTATGGATTCTCTGCCCTTTATATTATTCCATCCCAAGTGATCCAAAACAGGCCTGAGCAAAGTCCCTTTGCTCTCCCTAAAGGTGTTACCTAAATTTCCATCTGAAATGGAATCTTGACACAGAAAGTTGAGTTACTCTGCCTTGAATCAGTGCGCTGAAATAAGCCAACTGTATTCAGTCGAGTGGAAAGATGCCTCTGCACTTATGTAGCACATTTACAGTAGTCACTTTTAATACCCATATCAAAGCAGGATGGTCAGTTCAATCCAACTCTTCAGAGGGGAGCAATACTTTGATTCAGCACTTTGCTTAAAAAGAGTGCTTCAGCTGAAGCTTTGCTGAATCAATGTATCCCGTCAAAGCTTCATGCAGCCCTAAAGCACAATGTATTTCCATTGAATTCTACTCACCAGCACCCAATAACTGTGTATATACAGTTTCATGAAAGATAATGACTCCAGGACCCAAAGTGGACAATGGAACATCCAGTCCACAACGAGCTGTGGTTGCTTTCAGTTCTTTGGTGAAGTGTTTTAGGTATGCTTCTGAGGCATCTCCAAGAAATTTGAAGAGATCATTGTGGAGTCTGTCAGCATGAGTGCGGTAGATTATGAGATCTGAAATAGCCAAGACCTTCAGAAGCAGCCGGGTCCTCTGACTTAGGTTCTCCATGGCACCAAGAAGACCCTCTGTGTCAATCACCACCATTTTATGAACAGGGTCATAGGCAGCCCAAACACCTACTGTACAAGACTCCTGTGCTGGAGATGTTTTAAAGACTTCACGGCCATAAAAGAAGGTGTGGTTAAGGGTATGAGATTTCCCATCCCCTGTATTCCCAAAAATAGACACCACCTTTACATGCTGGTCAGGCTTGCAATTCAGTTTCTTGATAAATTCTTCTTCATTCTCCACCTTCCAACACAAGAAAGCAAGATTTTATGAGAACATTGTAGCTGCTGAAGCTGTGCCACTACATAAACCTGACTTGTAATCAATCGCCCAACTACCACGTTTAATCTATGATGCTCACAATTTATCAGACTTGTATTGAAGGGAGCCCCATAGTTTAACAACCTGTTCCAAGAATGCTGCTCTGTATACATCTTTATACTACCAGCGCCCAAGTAGGTGGGGGTATCTAGCCAATTTCAAAAGGCTAAGCAGGTTGGACTTGGTATGCCATTCTAATCCTAAAAGGACTCTGAGCATCTTACAGACCCTCTTAGAATAAGATTACAAACAGTCAAAACAACATAACAATAATTAAACTACAAATACAAAAACCTTGGCATTCAAGGACTGCCAAAAACAAAACACAAAAAAATCCATACAAGAGTGATTCACATCTCATAATCATTCCACAGTAGTTAGTATACCAGCCTAGGACCAGAGAGAATTAGGTCCAGCCATGAATGTACAAACTTAAATCAATCACCGTCTCAGCCAGATTAAATTTATATTGTTGTTATAAGGATAAAATTGGGAAAGGAGTAAATGGAACAATGGATACATCTTGAAAAGAAAATTCATTTTTGTTCAACAAATAAAAAATAAGAAATTTGTGGGCTTTTTTTATTTTTCTTGTGCCCTTGATCAGTGTTGACTCCTGGCAAGTACCCGGAGTAGTCCCTGCAGTTTTCTTGCAAGATTTCAGAAGTGGTTTGCCATTGCCTCCTTCCTAGGGCTGAGAGTGAGTGAGTGGCCCAAGATCACCCAGC